TCTTGTCATGAATAGAATCGAAAAATTTTGTGATTAATAATTATCGATTGAAACTGCATACATTTTCGAAAATGGATAAAATTTTCAGTCATCAAAAAGTATATAATATAACTCTTTAATCTATTGTGACTTATTACAACAAAGAAAACAAGATAAACTCCTATAGATGAACGAATCATTATTCGACCAACTTGATGAAAAGTTTTTGATCTCTTATAATATCTATATATCATCATGTAAATTGTATTCCTATCTTTTAAAATAATAAAATTGCATACCTCCAATAATACCAATTGTTATATAATAATACCAGACGTTCGCCCATAATCGACTAAGAAAAAACCCAAAAGCAGCGATGCAAGTACCTGCCATTGCTACTACACGACATCCATACATATTCGTAAGAACAGTTGCGATTGGTCCTGTAAAAATTAGAAATATAATTATCAGAAGAACACAACAATCGAATTAAAATCATAATTAGTTTACCTGCACCAAGAGTGACAGCTGGTAGAATACTGAAAATAGTTGAAATTGAAGCTCGATCAAGTGCAAGTTTTGTACGCATGGGTTCTAAGAATGTTTGACCCATTGAATATGTTATTCTAAATATTTTTAATATAAAATTGACGAAATGAAATTAAAAAAAATAATATATCACCTACCCATCCATAATGAAATGAATCAAGAATGATGCTAAGACAACCATCCATCCCCATCCACCATCGGGTACAATTGTTTCTTTACTTGATTTTTTTTTCTTATCATTTTCTTCCATTTGTTGTTTTTGATTTTTGAATTATTATCTTCTGAAATAAACAATCTTTATAAGAAATATAATAGCTCTAAAAATTATTCATCAACTGATATTTAATGTAATTATTTCATGTAAATATCAATTCGATATGTTTGTTTCAAACAGTGAGAGATGGTGATGACTCTTATTCTGACTTTTATATCTATTAAATGAACGACGACTAGTGTGATCATGATCCTAGTGGTTATCGTTGAATAGATACAAAAAAAAATGTGTGAAAAAAATGAAGTGGCCAATGCTTAAATACAATTGGATAACACCAAAGAAAACATCATAATTTTTTCGCTAAACATGTTATGTATTATTACACATTTGACTTTTTATCTTCTATTAACACTATATGTTTACATATTGAATAAAACATCAAAGAAAAACAATTCAATTTAATTATGATCTATATTAGACGCTTCATATGAACATAAAAGTAAACCTTTCTAATAGAATAGTTCATTTTAAAAACTATGAAAAATCACTGTTTGAATGATCTCAATAAATCATTTCGAACGAAACAATTCAAAATACAAAAGATGTCTTCAACTTTTGATTCTCTTACATTCCTATTGTAAAAAAGAAAATTGTAGCGTACAATATACACTTTGAATAAAATTATTATATATGTGTGAATAAAAGTTACCTACTTGTATCAATGAATGAACGAAAAAAATAATATGTTCTCTTCCTTTTATATGAACGCGATCAATAGAATGATGCAATGTTTGTCGTGTGCACCCAATGAAGAATGACGAAATATTATAGAACAAATGTAATAAAGAGTGATCAAATGTTCCATAATGTCTCGTATACTCAAAGAGGATTTCTTGTGCAAAGGAAAAGCTTATACGTACTTGTATTGTTGTTATTCAAATAAATGTTAATACATAATGGTGAAACACATTGTCATGATGTTCTATTCTTTTTTTCTTATTCGAAAACTATAAACTATATGTATCTATGTATTGTAAATATCAAAATTAGTGGATAATATGTACATTAGAATTACGTTAGATAGCATTCGCTACGATACAGATTTGTACATGAAATCTATGATATATATTCGAACTAGAACAGTTGTTCGGTCAATATTTTCAGTAAGATAACCACCAAATACAGAAAGAAAAATTATAGAAAGCACATTATTTCATTTCGATATAAATTTTTACACTTGATTGTACTAATACATGATTTTCTAAATCTTTCGATTGAATATTGGTTCTTCTCTCATTTTAAAACTCGTTTATAGTAAATTATTGTCAGTCATTTTCCATTACGATATTTGATAAAATCTGAATTGATTATAATCAAAATAAATCCGAACGATTAAGAAAAAATCGATTGCTTCGATTGACTGTGATTAAAAATGAGAATTTAGGTGTTGATGTGCACATGGATAAAAAAGGAAAGAGTATCCACATCCAAGAAGATTGTTTGATGGAAAATGTGACTTATTAAACAAGACCTAAATACATGTTTTTATTTGTTTGTCTCAAAAATCACAGTGAAAGAAGAACTATATATAACAAGAATATTTGAAAGTGTGCTATTTTTGAAGAAACGATTAACACTGAAAACAAGAAGAAGCTACACTCGTGCTTATCTCACATAATCAAGAATGAAAAAGTCAGATATGTTTGAAAGGACAGCAGCGTAATTTGTCACAAATGATCTGTTTGTGTATGAAACAGTTATTTCATATATATCGATGTTAGAGCAATAGCATCAAGAACAATATAAACTGCTTAAAAAAATAATCCTCATTCGTTAAGAACAGCTCATTCTTGTGACAGACTAAGCTGCTGTCCTTTCAAACATATCTTACTTTTTCATTCATGATTGTCTTGATTATATGAGATAAGATCAAGTGTAGCTTCTCCTTGTTTTCAGTATTAATCATCTCTTCGAAAAATTGAAAAGAAGACAACATCAAAAAAATTTTTTAAAAAATCAAAAGGGATAAGGAATAGAAAATGTGATGAGCGAATAGTTCCTATACTTGCAAGACTATTGACAAAGATAGATGAAAGAAAAGAGGCCGTTCTTAGCGACACATAAGTTATTATATGGTCACTTTTTATGCATGTTCGTAGTCAACAAGCGAGTTGTGAGTATCCCTCATTCGCTAGAAAATTTCTCGAGTCCATTAAAAAGCTTGATGTTTTATCAGTCAGAATTAAAAAAAGATTACTTACCATAGTAACTGAACAGTTTGTATTTTTAACAGAAGCTTTCAGAATGATATTTTCTTTTATGAATTTTATGTAGAATGAAGTATCTCTTAACTGCTACTGATTTATAAGAAAATTTTTCTATACGACTATGTATTTTTTTCGTAACTCAAATTGAATAAATAAATTATGTATAAATGTGTTAATCTAATTTATATACAATCATGTATCTCAAACATAAATTTACACGCATAATTAACAAGTGAAACAAGTTGTACACGTTACGCATGGGAATAATTAAGAATAAGAAATAGCCTTTGTCTTCAGAAGTTGTTCTTAAATATATGAATACTATGAGAAGGCACATTTCATCCGACAAAAAGCTAAATATAATGAGTATAATAATTCTTCAAGATACTTTGACCGTTGACATTGATATTAGAGATATTATTCAGAATAATCAACGATTAAACAACGATGTATTACCTCTCATACTTGCAAAGTTTCCATCAATCGTACCAAACGTCAATGAAATTCCTGAAGGTGATTTGAAGAAGAAAATTCAAAGAAAAGTATGTCAATTTGCATTATTCATTTCTTCTACTTCTGTTTTTGTTCACCTTGGATTTGGACACTTTCCAACAGTATATTCACATTATCCATTTATCATATCTTTTTTGAAATTCTGTCTTAAAGCGCTTTGCTTGTTTTAGTTAAATATTTTGAAAAGCAAAGTCAAAGCCAAAGCTGGTCATCATAAAATAGAGTCGTACCACTATGGAAGTAACTTGATAACAGTCGTAATTAAAAAGCGAAAGGTAAGAAAGCAATTTATGATCTTTCATAGCTTGCAGGTACTTCACAGCTCTAGAATTTTTGTTTATAGGTGAACGACAGGGTATTCAGTCAAAATGATCTTGATACAAGCCTAGTTAATTTTAATAATCCAACAACTGTACGATCAAATGTAAGTGCTAATACTTCCACAGAATTAAGTTGAAGCTGGAATCCGAAGCTAAAAATCCTTTCTTCATTTAGGTGTCCATTGGTACTAAGACATTGGTTCAGCCAAAACGTACTCGTTGAAGTAATTGTTGTCAAGCACGAAAACGTATCAAAACCGTCCAGCCAGCTGCTCTTGGTGCTGATTCCACTTGTTCTGATGACGAATCCTTGCCCAAGTAAAAGGCCTGCGAGTCCGAAGAAAGATAATATTTATTATAAAGATGATTGCATTTTAGATAGAGTTTACGTGATAGATCGAAATTGATAAAAACACAATATGATTATAGGACGTATTATGAATCCTCAGAAGGAGATGATGACGAAGGATCTCCTGATGATGTTCTGCTATCAAATGTGAAACTTTCCTATAAGAGAAACTTTTCTGTCAAGAGAATAAAATGAGGAGAGAACAAATTTTATATTTTCATCAAATGTTGATTTTCAATATACACAAGAGACTGCTCACTCCAAGTTTATTTTGTAATCTCCTAACTTCGCAAATTTAAATTACATTGATTAGAGAAGACCCATTTCCATTTTTTTAAAAACAGAAAAGTTTCTCTTATAGGAAAGTTTCAATAGTATCAAAGTGGAGTTAGCTGTAAATGAAAGTTCCTTTTCTTTTCTTTATACGTGATGCTGATAACAATTAATTTTTTGAAACATAGTGGTTGATTGTCTTTGAAGTAACCAAATCAATTAGAAAAAAAAAGAAGTTCAATATATATAAACTATATAATACAAAGTTATATTATACAAGGAAATATTCTATAATAGAGGAATAATAGAGGAATGCAGGAAGAGCGAAATAGCGACCGACAAGAATATATTTTGAAGCGCTTCCTACTCGAAGCTGGCTTCATCAGTGTCATCACTATGTGATACATAATGGCATTAATTAGTTTTTATGTACAGGTGCATATTTACATATAAATGATGCTGTTAAACTATTAATTCACGGTGATCCATCTGTCTTGGATAATACTGACAATCAAAAAATACATATTAAACATAATATGGATAGTACCACAATTCGAACATCAACAAATTTTCTCATGTCCACTATTACGTGTATTGAATCTGGTGCAAAACGACGAACACCTCCAAATGTTATACCATTAGGTCAGTTCAAATTTGATAAGG